CATGGTAAGTCGAGGAACATGAGCAACATCAGGAACAAAATAAGGAGTAGTAAGATTGCCTCTACTAGCAACAGAAAGTGGAGTACCATCAGCAGTGAAGACATGAATAGGAGAATCCAGTGATCGAAGAGAGGACAAAGTGGAAGAATGAGAAGACATATGAAAAGAAGCTCCAGAGTCCAGAACCCAGGGGGATGTACCTGACTGTGTAGAGGGTGATTGCTCAGTGCGGGAAGCATCAGTCACAGAACCGGCAGTACCCGTCGAGGAAGAACCTGAAGCCGCGAGCAGACGCTTAAGTCTCAGAATATCCTGCTCAGTCAAAGCAATGGCTGAAGCTGTCGAGGTAGATGACGAAGTCCCTGAAGATGAGGATCGAGCCTTGCGCAGGTGTTTTTTCTTTGTGTAGCACTGAGACTCAAGATGACCATCATTGTTGCAATAGGCGCAATGTGGACGGGGGCGACCTGAGCCTCCAGAAGGAGTGGGCAAGAGCGGTGGAGCACTCGAGCGAGAAGGGGTCGGTGGAGCAAGTGGCGTAGGAGCACGAGTAGCGAGCACAGAGGGAACCTCCAGCAAACCAGCACCACGTAAGCGAGTCTCCTCAGCACGAATCTCAGAAAGCGCCTCCATGAGAGAAATACGGCCACGAGCAAACAACTGAGCACGCCGGGGCTCAAACTCCTTACGGAGCCGAGACAAGAACTCATAGACGCGATGAAACTCCAAATTGGCCTGGACAGCCTGGCAACAGGGGCAGGTACGACACCCAGCACTACGGAGAGAATCAAGCTGGCGCCAGATAGCAGAACTCTGTGCATAGAAGTCATCAACAGTGGAGTCACCCTGCTGAAGAGCATGCTCCTGACGGATCACAGAGAGGTATAAAGCATCACCAGAGGGCTGATAGCGCTCACGAAGACGGGTCCACATCTCAAAGACAGTAGAAAGACCCAGAAATTCAGAAGCAAACTGAGGCAGAACACTAGCAGTGAGAACAGCTGCAGCACGAGCATCATCATCAAGCCACTGGGTGTAAACAGACAGAGCACCATGATATGTCTGAAGAGCCTCCTCATAAGCCAAAACCCTCTCATCATAAGCACGATCAGCAGCCTCATCAGCAACCTTAGCCGCATCCTTGGCGGCCTGATTAGCATCCGTAGGAAGAACCGATGGAGTTGGCGGAGTAGGGGCCACCGGAGGAACTGGACGTGGCGGACAACAGACCTCGCCAGAAAGAACACCCCAAAGACGGATGCCACGCATGTGAATGCACATGAAGCCAGTAAACTCGGTGTAGTTAGTACCATCAAAGATCACCGGACAGCGAGGGACAGCAACATAGCCCGATGCAGCAGACATTTTTTTTTTGTTTTTTTTTGTTTTGAGAACCAACGAGAGCACCAACGACCTGATCGGGCCGGCGCTGGATCGGGCGTCCGCTGGAGAGGACGCTAGCGACGGGATCCGAGCGGGAGAGAGAGCAGTTGGGACCGGCTACAGGATCTTGGGCAGGACCTGGCGGCTGGATCGGTCACGAGCAGAACCAGTCGGCTGGATCGCGGGCGTCTTCGATCGGGATCGATGGCGGCTATCAGGCGGCAGCGCCCAGGCGGCGGCGCCTCACGAGACAGGCGGATGAGGGCGGGTCGAGCAGATCGATCTAGGAGTCTCGATCGGGGGTGGGAGGGAGAGTCAGCGCAGCCAAGGATGAAGGCGTCGCGACGGAGGTGGATCAACAGCACGAGTTGCGCGTGCTATAAAATTGACCTAGCTCTAATACCATGATAGGAATATGCAACTTGTATTCCCATGAGGCCATAGGCCGATATATATATACATGTACAGGTGTGAAACATATGCAGGAAACCCCTTATACAACGGGATAAATACAAAGGGGTACATGACTTATATTATAACTCTAACAACCACCACATAACATGCATCGTTGTGGATCGTCATTGTCCCCTCTGTTTGATGAGCCTCCTCATCTGCTAACCAACTTTATTCCTTCTGGTCTGCTAAAACTCACGGTACTACATATTTAGCATATCACAGTTGATTCTTTGACGTATGATTTCTTGGTTATTCATGCTCACCGAGCCGAAGGCAGCGACGACATTGAGCAGAGGAGGGGTTTTGTAACACCAGGGAAGATGGTCGGGCACGATAGGGTTAGAGAGATGGTCGGGAACAGCGACAGAACTGCTAGCAGTCGGGTGTTGGCGACATGGCAAAGGCTACACTGTAGCAGCGCCACGAGCAAGAGAGACAACCAATTAGCATGGACAAGAGCATTTTCAACCGGATCTTCCGCTTCGCCCCATATGTTCGGGCACACAGTTCGAACATAGTATGGATAAAAAATTATCACCTAACCGAACCCTTTAAATCTAGCCCATATGTTTGGGCTGTCCAGCACTACCCATTTCTAGCCCATATGTAAGACGAATTTGAGGAGGGCATGAAGGATTTCTAGCCCACATGGACGCCAATGCACAACACACGGCACATGGCGGCCTGCCCGAGCTCAGAGGAGGAGGGCATGGAGGTTCCGCAAGGTTTGAGGTGGCAAATGTCATGGTGGACGACATCCACCTCCTCTCCATGAAGGTGGTGGAGGAGCAATTCTGCCTCACCCAAGTTGAGGAGGTGAAGCACCTCTCAACGAAGGCGCATTTCGAGGCCAAGCATGGAGGCACTGCCGCCTTCGCCAAGCTCATCATGGAGAATCACGCCATCCTTGAGTCCGAGCAGGTGGCGACATCAAACCGCCACGACATCAAGCAGGAGGAGCTCTTCGCAGACAACACTGAAGGAGATGACATCAATTTGCCCCACTGAACGATCATGAGGCCACGACTACATCAAGGGGTCCATCAAGTTCCGACGAGGAGTAGGGTAGCATGTAGTTTGCAATATTATTTGGAGATGCTCTAAGAGGGCGGAGGCAGTGGATAGATGTAGAGGAAAAGGAAGAGCCGTCCGATGAGATGCAACAGTTGCTGAAATCGACTCTGGTTTTGAATAAAAAAAACAAGCAATCCAGGCGACCATCTTCAAGGTAGAGTAGAATACACAGGTTTTCATTTGGGCATTTGGCTAACCAACCTTTTCTATTGTAACAACCATTTCTTCACAGCAAGCCAGCAACCACAACAATTCCTGGAAGCTGCAAATTTAAACAAAATTCACAGAGCAGGAGACCATGGAAATGAAGCATTGAGACTATCTGGTGGGATGTAAGCTGATTCCAGGTTCTGAAATGACTTGTATGAATGCGGCTAGAATATCAAATAGCAGATAGGCAATACTGCATTATCAAACTCGTTTCTCATCGATCATTACTATATAAATGGCATTCAGAACTGTTGTAAACAAACACAGCCATCACTCTGCAATTTGTCCTTGCATATTTATATCAAGATAAAAGATATGATCTCAAAACTTGGAAAGGCCCAGCAGAACCATGATTGTACGTGTCACAAATAAATTACTCCGTACCAAAAGAAGTTCATTTAGTTCACTACTCTACAAATTCTATCAGACTGATTGCACGACACGAGCAGGTCTTCCCGCGTTTTATCACCTTGGAGCAGAGAGACCCATCTCTATATAAAACAAACAAATAAAGTATACATCAGGAGATTGAACATCGCAACAGCACCTTTATTCTTTAAATTTATAAGCATGGAAGCATACAGCGTTGAAGTGTTCCTGATACTAGAAATAATAATGTTACAAGGAATTGACTGTCTAAGACATAACACTACGGCTAAGACAGATGTCGAGCAATATGTTTGGAGCATATCCACAATAGCCAAGCGCCCACCTTAAGACATTGTGTAAATGTTTCACGTATCATCATTTTCATCTGAGAAAAGAAGAATGGTAATGTTGTAAACTACACTGCCAGGCGGATTCATACAACTCACTTTGTTAAATAGAATTTCAAGAGAAAATGTAACCATCTTACAAGGCAAAGAGAGAAGCATATAGGAAAGTTGCACAAATAATATTGCATATATTTTTCCCAAACAGGTAGGCTTAGCAAAATCACAACCACTGCATAAAACATAGGGAAATGGCGTATTTTATCCATCAAACTGTTCTTCAAGAAAGGCGGCTAATAATTATATGTAAATAATATAAATCTAGTCTTCAGGTACAAATTTGACATGTTTAGGCACTCATTCTTGATGATTGCGAAGCAAAACAGCAAGCTTCCAGTAAAATACCTTTCAAGAACTAGCAACTCATGTGCCTGCAGAAACCAAATGTCTCACTCAATTGACCTCAATACAAAAATCTATGAAAGAATATTGTTGAACAAATGAATCTGCAATCGTTATTGTCTTATAGTATGAAAAAAAATGTTTTCTCTCTTGGACTGTAGGTAAAGGAGGTATAGTATGGAGTGCTGATCAGCTAGAGAGACCCAAAGGTAGCACTGACATGTGCAACCTAAGAATTAAAGTGATTTGTTGTTCCTACCCAAACATAAACACAATATTGAGGTAGTCATGTCACTACGCACAGTGATGTCACCGTGGAACAGCACTAGCATACTATTAGGCCAAAACGGTGCTACATACGACATTATTTTGGTAAGAATTAGAGGAATTTAGAGTTTATGAACATGGACATCTCTAATTCTCCATTTTCATTAGTCAAACCATCTACAGCGAGCTGAATAATTTCCTTTTGGAATAGAAATGATAGCAAACAAACACCAAATGGAACTTCTTAGAACACTGGCATTTCGGTGATACGACAACGACCACACACATCTGGACAAAAACTACACAGAATCATCGACAGGGAAGTGACCAAAGGGTGACACAGAGCAAACAAGCAGCATCAGATTCTTCACCATGCTGAGCAAGCAACTGAACTAATGGCGCGCAAGATTAAAGTAAGGTATAAGTATGCACGGGCGGGCGCAGTTCTCACCCAAACCGAAAAGACAGACAACAGCTTCATCGATGGTACGATTGTTAAAGTCCGGGATAGGTGCGACAGAGGATACCCTGAGAGAGAGCGGAGGAGCTCCGGGACGCCGTGCTCAGCCGCGAAGTCAGCCTCGCCGCGGCCACCGCGCTGTGCAGCGGCAGCAGCGACATTCCCGCGCAGCACCCCAGCTCCAGCGGCACCCTGCACGCCACAGACCATTCCGCGTCACAGATCCGGCACCCACATGGATAAGGCTATCAACTGCGTCACCGTTTGTTTACCTGGAGATTAGCGGGGCGCGGCGGGCGGCGGAGCGGCCGACGGAGGGCATGGAGCGGGAGGCCGCCGAGCGGCATGCCGCGGTGGCGGCGCGGGCGGCGGCGCGGAAGCAGGTCGAGGCCATCTCTGAGGGTTTGGCGAAGGCAAGGGAGATGGGAAAGGGAGAGGCGGGTGGGCGAGGACCGAGGAGAGTAGAAGCGTTTAGGGCTCGGCGTCAGGAATGCGGCGGCGGCACGGGCTGGGAAGGAAGGACACATTTCCAGGTCCATGTTGGGCCGGACGCCCAACAATAGCGGATCCTGTTCGGCAGGCCGCCAAATGTGCCACACCGAAAAAACAGGCTGCATTTCTTGGGCAAAAAGGATTGGAGGCGGAACTAAAAACAGAATAGTTAACCACATGAAACATGTGGTAAGCAATCCAAACAATAAAAAAAACAGAATAGTTTGTTCGGTTACAAAAATAAATAAAAAACATATTTTGTGTCAACGTTATTTTGACGATTTCATGTTTGGTGTCAAAACCAATTTGATGATTTCATATTCACTACTAACGATTTGTGGGCTTGGCAAATTCAACGTCTATCACCTTGAAAAAAAAACATACAAACCATCATCGACAGGTGCATGATACAACAGGGTGTAAGGGCTGTACAGAATATTTTGCCCCTAAAACCTAGGGTTTCTCCCGGGCGGTGGTGACACCGTTGGAACTCATATTTTACCGACGTTCGGGGCGGGCCTTTCCCTCATCGATATTGGGATAACGTCCTTTGGCTCTATCGCGCGAGGGCATGCCTAATCCTTCACATCTTGGAGGAGGAAGGTAGTGGTGGCGACGACGGCGGAAACGGGTGGGTCAGGATGGATCCGAAACCGAGGGAAAGTTGATGATCTACTTTGAAGACTCGAGATAATTGAAGGAAGATGATGTTGTTGATCTTTTGGGTCGGGACAGAGAGCCTGCACGGGAGACATGTTGGGCGGTGTTGATAAGGGTATGCGTGAAAGTCCCCTCTAGTCATATGGCTTTCTTCACGGCCATGCAGGTGGCGTGGGGTTGTGCGCAAGAGGTGAAGTTTTGAGCTTTGAATGATTACTTGTTCACAGTGGAGTTCGAGTGCTTTGGAGACTGGAACACGACAATGTATGGAGGCTCGTGGCTCTTTAGGCACCATGTAGTGGTAAATGAAGAATACAATTGACTGGTAAATATAGAAATATGTCTCTAGACTCCATCAAAGTCTGAATGAGGATCATTGAATTGTCAAACTTGGTACGCAATAATTCCGTGTCTAAGGTAATGGCTTCAAAGATGGGAGAAGTGCTAGAAGTAGAGATGGGTCTGGATGGTGTGGAATACATCAAGTTTGTGCAGAGTTAGGGTGAAGATCAAGCTTGATAAGCCCCTTGCTACATTTTTGTCAGGGAATGTGGCACCTTGTAAGCCTAGTCAGATATTGCAAGTGTGGTATGAAAGGATGCCCCGGTTCTGTGCAAACCATGGTACAATGGGACATATTGCTAATCAATGTGGAGAACGGTTGCATGAACCCTCCAAGTTTCTCATGGCCTAAGGACAAAAGTAGACGTTAACACTTTATACAAAAATGTCGACAACATATTGATGATGTGATCTCGCAATATTTCATAAGTTAGGTCTTTCCAATACCATTGTTACCCTAAGAGTATGTTCTGGTCATTGTTGGCATCCTTATTACCATAACAATGCTCATGATTAGGAAAACAAAGCGTCAACAATACATGAGCTAGTACAAAGGCATGACTAGGGATATGTTTGGTGTTTATCTTTTCACACATGCAGATAGATTTGTTGCCTCCTAATCTCACATTCCTTCAAGAACCACTGCATGTGTTTATCTTTATGATTGATTTTATGGCATATTTCCAATATTCATCTTGACCACCACACACTCAAGCTCTCCTTTTGTTCTTGCAATATTTTATTACCAGCCCCTAACATTTTTTTGGTATCTGTTAAGTACTTTAGCTACCTTCTTCAATCCTATCCTACAAAGTACCTTAGTTACTGCCCTTGCAACCTCTCTTAGTTTTAGAGAACCTATCTTATTTTATAATGTTCATGACTTTTCAAAAAAGGGACTCACGAATTTTAAAAAGTTTTCATGGATTTTGAAAAAAAATCTTGAGTTTGAAAATTCCATGGATTGGGAAAAAATTGTGAAGTTAAAGAGTTCACCGATTTGAAAAAGGTCATGAATTAGAAAAAAGTTCATGTATTTTTTGAAAAAAAACATGGATTCCAAAAAGTTTATGAATTTGAAAAAGTTCACGAATTTGATTTTCACCAGTTTGAAAAAACATCAACGGATTTTATAAAATGTTCATGATTTTTTAAAGGTTCACGCATTTAAAAATATATTCATAAATTTAATACAGGTTCACAAAATTAAAATCCAGAAGTTAAAGAGTTCAGGTATTTGAAAAAATTCCACAAATAATTAAAGACGAAAAACTGAAAAGGAAAAGGGAAAACCCAGAAAAATAAAAAAATGGTAGAAAACCACAGTGAAAAAACATAGAAAACAAAAAATAGATCTAAAAGCATCTAGTAGCTAAACGTGAGCTAGCAGACGAGATACATGGGACGGCTCAATATGGGAGCGTGTGAGCACTTCGTACGATCAACGATGGAAATGACGTCTTAGGGATTTTCTAAATAAAAAATGACGTCTTAGGGGCTCCTATAGGCCGCGCATTGCGTCCGATTTGCGCGATTTGCGCGCGTCGCAAAGCATCTTTTTTTTTGAGACAAGCGTCGCAAAGCATCTAGTAGCTTCCCAAAACTACTGGAGCAGGGGATATATGGGCCGGCCCAATTTAACGAAGGAAACGCCGTCTTAGGGACTTTCTAAAAAAACAACGTGTTAGGGGCTCCTATACGTCGCGCATTGCAACTAGGCTGGCCCATTGTCACGAGGAAACAGTGAAAAAATCACCAAAAAAATGAATGCGCCCATGCGAGGGATCGAACCCAACACTAGGAATGTATCGGATGCACCCACACTTGTGGTGCTACAGGTGCACCGGATGCTGTATAACATTTTCAAAAATCCGAAAGAAAATCTAGCACATTGACACAACATTGTTTGAGATTCAAATGACAAATTTGACATCATTGCGATAATGGGCCAAATCTAGAGCCCAACATATGTTATGTACTATTCAGTAGTGAATTTGCCATTTTTGTTTTCTGAGCTATGTTTCGAATTTTGACCCGAAATTTCGTGACAACATAAATTAATGTTGTCTGAATGTGCTAACTGTTCTTTGGAATTTTTTAAACATTAAAAGTGTGAAACGTGAGTTTGGTGCACCGGTAGCACCATAAGCACTGGTGCACCAGATATTTCCCACCTTGCACCTCCAACAGCTGGTAGTCGTGGCCAACAAGCGGATGAGCTTCAACGACTAATAAAAATACACGGTTCAAAGGAACTATTAGCCACTACAAATCTAAAACATTGTTTTGAATTTTCAAATGTGATATTTTTCTGTTTGTTTCTTTATTGATTTTTCTTTTTTCAAATCAGTAATTACAAAAAAAAGTTAGAAATTTGGAAAAATGTTGGAATTTCAAAAACAAATCATGATTACCAAAAACTGTTCACCTTTCCAACAAGGTTTGTAATTTGGAAAGTTGTTCCCATTTTCAAAAAATGTTTGGGAATTGAAAAAAAATTGGATTTAAATATTTTTTCACATTTTCAAAAATTATTTTAAAAAATTCGGAAAAATGTGTGCATTTAAAAAAATTGTTTGTTGAAAAACGTTCGGTTTTGATTTAGTGAGAAAATTTTAAAACGGGAACATATTTCGACATTCTGAACAATCTTTTAAAAATCAAACAAATTGTGACAAACATGAACGTTTTTAGAAAAGCCTGAACATTTTTTCCGAATGTGAATATTTTTTGAATTTATGTATTATATTTGAAAAACCAAAACAATTGTTGAAAAAAATTAACATGAATGTTTTTCGCAAATCCAGAACAATTTTTTGTAACACAAACATTTTTTGAACACATGAAATTTCTTTGAAACTCCCGAACAAAAGTTGGAAGTACTATCATTTTTTGCGAAAACATGATATTTTTTGAATATATGATAATTTTTCGAAAAAATATTTTTTGAAAAATATATAAAAAAGTGTGAACAAATTTTGAAAAAATAAAATACATGTGGAAACAAAAAGAAACAAAAAAGGAAAACGAAAAGAGAGAATGAAACCGAAACAGAAACAGAAAAATAAAATAAGAAACCATTTCAGGAACCTTCTAGAAGGTTCTCAGCACTAGGGAAAACTTCCTAGGAACCCTCTAGAAGTTTCCAAAAACCGAAACGTGAAAGTTGTATGCATACTACAGATGGGCTGGGCCAAATCGCTCGCTTGCGTTGCTGGCATGTGTGTTTTGTCAACAGTTTGACGCAATGTGCTTCAAATAGGATTTTCTGTGTTAAGGTGGCCATTTCTTGTTTAGTGCTTCATGTATTTGTTAACACTTTCCTCGTACGCAGCCACCACATCGGTAGTCCTATACGGACCGGCCTATGTAGATTTATCGCTAGTACTAGAAGGTTCCACTGATTTTTTTGGGTGGCTGTTGAATTTTTTTTGGGTGGTTGCTGAATTTTTTCCTCCGAAAAACCTGGAGCTTCGGGAGAGGCGATTAGGGTTTTCAGGGTGGACTCTGTGGCGGTGCTCGTTGATCCCATCGACGAGGTGCCTTGAGAGATCGATCAGGGATGGCTACAGCCCCTGATCGGGATCGGGGGAAGGATCCCTTGTCGCCTATGGCGGCGAGGGCGAAGCTGGCGGAGGCTTTGGGCAAGTTGGATATCTCGGAAGAGGAAGCGACGCCACTTGTTCTAGATGATTGCGAGGAAGGGCCGGAGAAGTGGATGCTGGCGGGGAAAGTTCTTCATTGTCATATCTTGCACATCCAAACTATCACGAGTGCTCTACGTCCCGCGTGGGGAAACCCTAAGGGATTGTCTTTCCGACCTACTGGAGAAAATATTTTTGTCGCTAAATTTGCCCGCCAGAGAGATCGTGATCGGGTTTGGGCACGCTCCCCATGGCA